ACAGGTTAGTTATTTTATTCCCCCCTCACTATTTTTTTAGGGTGAGGGGGGTAGGTAGGGACTGGGTGGGGGGGGTGGGTGACTAGGGGCTTGAGGACCCCTGGTCACCTTGTGTGGGGGGGAAATTGACTTAGGGCTCCCACCCGCCGCCCAAGGGTGGGGGCCGGAGGGGAGGACAGTAGGCCCCCCCATTATCTTTATGGCCCCCACCCGCCGCCCAGGGATGGGGGCCGGAGTGGGTGGACAGTAGGCCCCCCTCATTATCATTTGGCCCCCACCCGCCGCCCAGGGGTGGGGGCTGGGGGGGAGGGCAGTAGGTCCCCCCTCATTATCATTATGGCCCCCAACCGCCGCCCAGGGGTGGGGCCCGGGGGGGAGGGCAGTATGCCCCCCCCCATTATCATTATGGCCCCCACCCACCACACAGGGGTGGGGGCCGGGAGGGGGCAATAGGTCTCCCCCCTTATTTTACTTTAGGGCCCCCACCCATCATTTAGGGGTGGGGGCCAATAGTTGTTTTTTTTGTTTTTTTTGTTTTTTTACAGTGAGCAGCCACAGGCTGCTCACTATTTAGTGGACATGCCCCTAGTCACGGTATAGCTAGTAGGGGCATTGGGGAGATTTTAATCTCCCTTGTGCTATTATGTGGGTCATATTTACCCCCATAGAGTGAGGGGGGCCTAGGGGGCTTATGAAGTGGTGGGGAGCACTGCTCCCTGCCACTTCTATAGTTACATATTACAAGGAGGGAGCTGCATGCCAGTAGAAACCTCCTTGTAATAAACTGAGCGATATGCTAGTTTGTTCGGCTGATATTTCTATTCATTCATTCGTCTGTCTGATGAATGAATGAATAGATGAAATTCCCATTCGCATGTCCACGTGTTTCACTGGGCATGTGCGGGAATCTCAGCGCTATCTAGTGTGGGCTGATTACGTGTCCCACAGGGACTTCATCTACCCACTCAAAGATGGCTGAGCCCTGAATCAAGATCGGGGCAGAAAATAAAGATACAAAAATAGGTAATGTGGGGGGCTTAAGGGCATTTGAGGTGACTAGGGTGTCAGTTAGAGATAGTGGAGGCCGGAGGGGGGTTAAAAAAAACACAGTATTCGGCATGACAGTGCCGCTTTAAGTCCTCCTCCCAGGACTCACTGTACATCGCAATATCATTCAGGTACACACAGGCAAAATCCTGGAAGCCACTGAGGAGTCTATCCACCAAGTGCTGAAAAGTGGCCGGGGCGTTTTTCATCCCGAATGGTATGACCTTAAACTGGTACAAGCCAAACGGGGTGACAAAGGCCAACTTGGGGATAGCATCCTCGGCCAGGGAAATCTGCCAATAACCCTTGCAAAGGTCAATGGTGGTCAGATCCCGTTCCCTGGTGATGTGATCTAACAGCTCATCCACTCGGGGCATCGGGTAGGCATCAGTCACTGTCTTGTCATTCAACTGCCGATAGTCCATGCAGAACAGGGCCGCTGCATCTTTCTTCGGTACTAGGACTACTGGAGAAGCCCAGGGACTATCGGATAGTTCAATGACTCATAGTCTAAGCATTTCTTGTATCTCCCCCCCCCCCACCCCTTCTCTGACTGCTATTGAGATACGGTAGGGAGGCTGTCTAAGTGAGGCTCTATGATTAGGGAGAGTAGTGAACCTAGGTTCCTGGGAGAAAATCTGTTACTTCCTCTCTATTAGCAAGCATACCTGCTCCCTCTCTGCAGGTGTTTGTCAGTCCCCTAGTTTTATCTGACTGAGGGGGTCAGTCTGCGACTATTTTTCCAGTAGGTCGGGTAGGGGCAGACTGTCGGGGTCGTCTGTGGCTGGGGCACATACAGCAGCTATGTCTTCCTTCCTGTCCTGATATTCTTTTAACATGTTGATGTGAAAGGACCTTCGGATCCTTTCGTCATTACAACTGGCAAGTACATAGGTGGTGTCACATAGTTGTTCTACCACTCTGTAAGGGCCCTACCATGCTGCCTGCAGTTTATCCTGTTGGACATGTTTTAGTACTAGGATCTTTTGGCCCACCTGGAATATGGGTTGGCGGGCAGCCCTCCCAGTGCTCTCTAATGAGATCAAGGTGACCTTGTACCCTTCTCCCATATAGCAGCTCGAAAGGAGAAAACCCAGTAGATTCCTGCGGCACCTTTCAATATGCAAGCAAGAGGTGAGGCAGAAACTGCTCCAAGTCTCTGTATTCGTATGTGAATGTCCTCAACATTTGTTTAAAGGTAGCATTAAAACGTTCACAGAGACCGTTAGTCTGCGGGTGGTATGGTGAGCTGAGTAGGGGCGTAATACCACAGACCTTCCATAACTGATGGGTGAGATCTGCGGTAAATTGCGTCCCTTGGTCAAAAAGAATGTCTTTAGGAATACCCACTCTAGCGAATATCCCGACCAGTGCACTGGCAACAGTGTCTGCCTGGATATTCGAGGGGGCAACAGCTTCCGGATTACGGGTAACGTAGTCCACCATGTTAAGTTTAAATTATTTACCGGATGGACTGGGTCTCTTTAGGGATCCTACCAAATTAACTGCTATCCCTCTGAAGGGTTCTTCAATAATAGGCATGGATAACAGTTGAGCCTCTGGATGATTCCCCCTCTTTCCTACCCGCTGGCAGACATTGCAAGTCCTGCAGTATTATCTCACATCCCCAGAGACTCCCGGCCAAAATATGTTTTAGGTTACTCGATGGTATGTGCGAGTTACTCCCAGGTGTCCTGCTAAAGGGATATCGTGCCCAATCCGAGGAAGCTCCAACCGGTATTTCCTTGGTACTACCAGTTGGCGATTCTTTGATGGGGCTGTTCCTGTGTTATGGGTTTCAGTCACCCGGTATAATTTATCCTGTTACCAGATAAAACTTTTCCCCTCTAATCCTCCTTACTCTGTCACTTCCTTGGTCCTATACTTATGAAGGGACGGGTCTCACTCCCAAACTCTGCTGGGGTGTCCCAGGATAAGGGTGTCATTGCTACAGTTCTGGTCGGGGTGTCAGTGATGCTTACCTGGGTCTCTCTAACCGGTAAGCTGTGTTCTGCGTACCTGGCTTGGGAGCGAGTTGTAACCGGGTTGCCTGTGGCTGGTTCGGTAGGGACGTAAGGGAAGGTTAATGGTCCTAGACTACTCCCCAATAGTACTTCTGCGGGCAAGTTGTCCATAATTCCCACATTCACAATGTCAGATCCAGCTCCCCAGTTAAGGTAAACGCGGGCAATAGGGAGGAGAAAGACAGCTCCCCTGACTACCCAGACAGCTACAGTTTGTCAGGTGCATGCCTTGTTGCTCACCAGTTGTCGTTGCAATAGAATCAAAGAAGCGCCCATTTCCTGTAAACCCTGGGCCTCCTGCCAGTGTTGTTGGCGGCTATCCTGGGTGGCAGCTTGCACATGGTCAGCCTCATACAGTACCCCTAAGTATTCCTCGGATGTGGCCTCCGCTACCAAGTATGGGTATGAGTATGGGTTGGTGCAGGCTGGGTCACTGGTGGGGGTCGCCCCCAAGTTGGCATGGTTGGTTTCGAGGGGACAGTTACTCCTCACATGACCCCATCTGTCACAACGATGGCACTTTCTCTGAGGTTGGTTCTGTTGAAACCTAGGAGGTCCTAGGTAGTGTGAAGGACCTGGGGGAACTGGGGCCCAAAACCCTGGGCGAGGAGGGGCGCCTGGTGTTGGTGTATTCATCTCCAAGGCGAGCAGCCTCTGGCAAGGTGAAGGGTCTTCGGTCACGTACCCATTCCAGCAGTTCAGGTTGCAGCAAGTTTAAAAAGTGACGTGTGGAAACAGCAAGAGGACGACGACCGATGAGTGGAACGCATGATGCCGCGAAAATAAAATAAGAGACATAAAAAAGAAACCACAAGGACCCAGCAATATCCTATGCACCAACTGGAGAAGCCACATGTGGTGAAATGCGGCTTGGTGATTATTGGACTCATATTTTATGCTAATTTTTTATTGTTTTATTTATATCAATAAATGTGTTCACCTTTTCCTAATTCCTGCTACTTATTATTCCTGGGAGGATATTGGATCACCCTTTTACCATCTAAGGTGGGGCTTGGGTCTCCCAAAAAGGATCCTACGGATATACACACCAGAGCCAGGTTCTCTATATGGCTCTATTCTTGTGAGTGTGCTTTACTGAGATCCTCATATGTGTATGCTGTAATAGGGATAATCTGCACTATTGTATAGCCCTCTTTTTCTGTTTCAGCATTGTTGGCTGTATTAAGAAGAGAGGGAAATATTATTAGATCCACCTTATGATTTTGTGTTATGTATGTTTTAAGGTGTAGGTGAAGGGGATACCTCACAGGCGTTTAGAGCTAACCACTACTGAATGATATACTATTTGTTTGTGTTAAAACTATCACCAAAACAGTTTGTTGCAAAATGTGGACGTAGTTATACACAAAAAAAAAAAATTGTTGCTCTGAATAAGTACACGGTATATACTAGCTATGCATCACAGATTTCTAACAACAAAAAAATCCCACCAGGAATACTGTAAAGAGAGTATCAGGTTCTGGACTAAGTAGAGCAATCTATCAGTAATTAATTTACACACTAGTAATTTGTAGCATTGAATTATTTAGAACATAAGCTGTGTAACTCACTCTCATTCTCTCCCTAACTCAATTTCTCACTCAATCACTCACTCGCTCAATCTCTCACTCACTCGCTCAATCTCTCACTCACTCGCTCAATCTCTCACTCACTCGCTCAATCTCTCACTCACTGACTCACTGCCAATTGAGGGTCTTTGTAACTAACTCAGACACAAGGAAGCAAAACTGTGTGTCACCTAACCACTGGCCATCGTGCCTTTGGGGCAACTACTAGTGCATATTTCTATAAACTCCCTTATGAAAAGGATCAAAAGTTTAAATAGTTTAAAGCCAAGCCCATTAGTTTTAGAATTGCCAATCTCTAAATACTTAGAATTTATTTTAGTGGAATTTTAAAATTGTAACACTTACTGCAACTGAACACCCCAAGGATCTATATAAAATAGAATATATAAGAATGAATGTAAAACCCTCTTCATCATCAGAGTGAGGGAGTCTGCTACCATCACTCGAAAGAGCGCAGGATACAGGTAGCATTTTTTATACACACTGTATGTGTGTCTTTCTGTGGGCGTACATGTGTCTGTATGTATATCTGTGTATGTATGTATGTGTGTCTGAGTGTGTGCCTTTGTCTTTCTTTATCGGTTTGTGTCTGTCTGGCTGTATGTATATCTCTGTGTGTCTGTTTCTGTCTCTATGTGTGTCTGTCTTTGTCTTTCTTTATCGGTCTGTGTCTGTGTGTGTATGTTTCTGTCTGTAAGTGTGTCTGTATTTGTGTCAGTTTCTGTTTGTATCTGTGTGCATGTCTGTGTCTCCTTATGTGTGTCTTTGTATGTAGAATTAGAGAAAGACAGAAAAGGGGTGAGAAGAAGGGGGGGAGGAACAGAGAGTTAAATACGAACTAAAAATACTGAGAAATTGGAGAAAAATAACAAAATAATGAACTAGGGGTGACTATAGCTTGGTTGGAGAATTGTAGCAGATTCCCTATTTTAGCCTAAAATTCCCTATTAATATTTCAATTCTCAACAATTTAGAGTCCAGTGAATAAAATACCATAGTGGGTTTAATGCTCTGGAGCCCTATGATACTAGTCTTTTTTAACTTGCTACTAAAGCTTTTAAAACCCAATTTAAAACTCTATTAGAGTTTAACCAACCACTGACTGAGCCTGATGGGAGTTGTATTTCACAGAAGCTAGGTAGCAAGAGCTAGAATGTCCATCATTGTCTTTGAGAGTTTGTGTTTATATTTATCTGTGTGTGTCAATTTGTGTCTGTGTCTATATTTTTCTGTGTGTCTATATTTTTCTATGTGTGTTAATTTGTGCCTGTGTGTGTCTAAATTTATCTGTGTGTGATTAATTGTTCCTGTATGTGTCTATATTTATCCGTGTATGTCAATTTGTTCCTGTGTGTGTCTATATTTATCTGTGTGTGTCAATTTGTGTCTTTGTGTGTGTCAATTTGTGTCTTTGTGTGTGTCTGTTTTTCTCTGTGTGTCTATATTTTTGTGTGTGTGTTAATTTGTGCCTGTGTGAGTCTATATTTATCTGTGTATGTGTGTTTCTATATTTATCTGCGTGTGTTGATTTGTTCCTGTGTGTCTATATTTATCTGTGTGTGTCTATATTTGTCTGCGTGTGTCTATATGTATCTGTGTGTGTCTCTGTGTGTCTACAAATAGTTGGAGCAAGTGAAAATACTGAGGTAATGGAAAAAGAAAGAGAAAAATTAATAAAATGATGCTGTGTGGAGGGAACAGGTAGAAACATTCATACATAATGCTTATATCTGTGTTTAATATATATATAAATATATATATATATATATATATATAGAGAGAGAGAGAGAGAGAGAGAGAAACTAATGCAACAATGGACAAAGATAACAGAGAAGTGATAAAGAATGGGAAATAAATGAGATCGAGATAGAGTGAGATATTTCAGGTAATAAAAGAATTATTAAAGTGTTACTCCAACCCTTATAATTATATATATATTTGTGTTCGGGGCATTCTCATATCATATAGAATAAGATGGGTTGTAGAGATGTAGCTTTAGGAATAGTCGGTTGAGGTGTGCCGAAACCGACGTATGCTGTAGGCCGGTAAAAAGTGGGCTTACATAGAGGAAATATGAACAATGGGAGTGGAGGGTGGGGCTATTCGTCTGACCAACAAAGGTAAGTAGGGAAAGGGGGGAGTCCCTTTTATAGGTCTATAGCCCCTCCCACAACTTCAGGCCATGCCTTCCAATTTGTGTTCGGGGCATTCTCATATGATATAGAATAAGATGGGTTGTAGAGATGTAGCTTTAGGAATAGTCGGTTGAGGTGTGCCGAAACCGACGTATGCTGTAGGCCGGTAAAAAGTGGGCTTACATAGAGGAAATATGAACAATGGGAGTGGAGGGTGGGGCTATTCACCTGACCAACAAAGGTAAGTAGGGAAATGGGGGAGTCCCTTTTATAGGTCTATAGCCCTTCCCACAACTTCAGGTCATGCCTTCCAATTTGTGTTCGGGGCATTCTCATATGATTTCGAATAAGATGGGTTGTAGAGATGTAGCTTTAGGAATAATCAGTTGAGGTGTGCCGAAACCGACGTATGCTGTAGGCTGGTAAAAAGTGGGCAAAAAGAGACATATTAATGCAAAACATTATACAGGATCATAGTGCATTTGTTAACCATCAGGTAGACATTTTAATGAAAGCTTCCTAATTCCTGAATCAGCTGCTGTATGTAAGTCGCATAAGCCTATGATTCCCCGTTTTCTTATTGCCAGTTGAAAAAGCCCTGTGTGGTGAAACGCGTTTTGGCTATTTTATACATATCTTTTATTATCTATTAATAAAGTATTATTGGCCTATTATTCACCTTTTATACATTACTTATTATCTTTTATTTTATTTATTTACTTATTATTTCCTGGACCTGGTTACTACTATTTTATATACAAGAATCCTAGGTGGGGATGATACCACCTACGCTATACTAGTGAGCAGTATCTCCTGCTCACTTAAATGTGAGTATTTTATACACATTTTACCTTTCTTAAGTATCTATTCATACAGTGAGCACTATTCTGTGTTATCCTCTTCTTTCCCGAGAATCTCGGCCACGGATTCATGTCTACATCCCACCAGTGGGGGACCAGTACCACTGAATGCAACATACACCTGAGCTAGTTTTAGCTCTAATATCACACCAGTACCACTGAATGCGACATACACCTGAGCTAGTTTTAGCTCTAATATAGGGCTTTTTACTCTGTATTCCTATAAAGAAGCGGAAAAGACTATCTATACCATTGGAGCTTTTATTTTGTTCTCTTTTGCATATTGGCACCTGGAACAAGACGTCATATCCATTTCCTTTATTCTACAAGGACTGTTTCTTTCCCTCAAGCGGACTTGACCATCCTTTGCTTATTTTAGGACTTTTTCATCTATTTCTCTTTGTATGTACTGCTATTTGTAAGTACTTACTACATCATTTACATGTACTGTTTTATATATTAAGATTTTTATTTTTACCGTTTGTTGTATTACTATATTTTGATTTTGTTATATCTATTTTTTGGCGCGACCTAATACTTCCTTATGATTCCCCGTGTCTTAACGTGTGCGGGGATGTCTTGGCTATAGGCTGTGGAGGCTGCTCCTATCCTAAAGGAGTGCCCTGAGTAGTCGCTAGGGTTTAGTTCGAGCCCGGTGAATGAGTAGGTGGACATAGTGCATGAACTTACCTGTGGTAAGGACAGTATCATACAGAGACAGTAATGGTTCAGTGGTGCGTATGGTGGCGTGCCCAAGAACGCAACCAGTACCTTAACCGGGCACCCAGCATTGCTTGTAAGGTAGTAGGTTATATGCACTGGCTCGCCCATCTGACTCGTCTTAGTTTTAGGAAGGGACTGGACATAGTGGTCTGTGTGTTTTAGAAGATAAGAGGTCAACAGGCACTGTTGTATATGATGTTGGCCACTGATAGTGAGTTATTTTTTGGCCGTTAAGGCTAGATAGGTAGCAGTTTTGATAACTGCATTGGTGCGTGGCTTGGAAGGTGCATGGTCAAGTAATTCTGACATGGTTTGAACATTGTATGTCTATGGCCAGTATTTAGTTTTAGCGGGAACGTCCGCTTGGCTATGTCTCTAAGTAAGGTATGCATGGGGTAGGAGGATAGGAACCCTTGTTGTTTGGGAAGGAGAAATACGTATAGTGTTGAATGCCCGTGAGATAAGTTTAACTGTGTTGTGCGAGAATTTTTAACTTAAGGTGGCAAAAAGAGGCGAAGGCCATAAGTGGTGAAACCTCAAACCAGCTATCTAAGTGATGGTCCGACATGAAACGTATTGTATAAGTGAAAAACCCTGTAGCAAGCGTGTTAAGTGCTGCTGGACAAGGCCAGTTTTGTCAGAGCCCGGCTATGTTGGCGAGGTTCCTGTAATCCATGACCTTGACCATAAATGACCCCCCTGCCATGGCGGCTGACACGGCAGCTGCCATAATAGTTTACCATTACGTGTGGATAAGAAAGTCCACCATATGTGTAGGTCTGCCGTGTATACAGTCCATAGAATATTATCTCGTTTACACAAAACCCAGTCTAAGAAATTAATAGAACCTAGTCTTAGGGATGAAAATATATTTTTCATGGTTGAATGTTTTATAGTATACAGTCTTACATATCTCATTTACACACAACCCGATCTAAGGGATAAATAGATATTTCCGTGGTTGGATGATTTATCGTATACAGTCTAACGTATAATCTCGTTTACACAGAACCCAGTCTAAGAAATAAATAGATATTTCCGTGGTTGGATGTTTTATAGTATACATTCTAACATGTTATCTTATTTAGACACAACCCGATCTATGGGATAAATAGATATTTCCGTGGTTGGATGTTTTATATTATACAGTCTATAACATATTATCTCTTTTACACAGAACCCAGTCTTAGGGATGAAAATATTTTTTCCATGGTTGAATGTTTTATAGTACACATTCTTACATATTTTATTAACACACAACCCGATCTAAGGGCTAAATATATATTTCCGTGGTTGGATTATTTATAGTATACAGTCCATAACATATAATCTCGTTTACGCAGAACCCGGTCTAAGAAATGAATAGATATTTCCGTGGTTGGATGTTTTATAGTATATATTCTAACATATTATCTTGTTTACACAGAACACGGTCTAAGGGATCAATAGATATTTCCTTGTTTGGATGTTTTATAGCATGACGTCTAACATATTATCTTGTTTACACAGGTGAAGTGGATATTGTATAGAAGGCGATAGCGTCGTGGACAAGCTAAACATGTATCGCTGCACAATATTTGTGCTTCTACTGATCAGTAAGTCTGGTTTTATTGGGAATATTGTCTGATCTATTAATGTGACCTTTTGATTACTAGGTAATAGGCATTTTTACCATTCAGGTGGTGTCCTCTTTAGGTTCCTAATAACCAGTGGAACCGCTTGTGAAGATGGAGAGATCACTGCTTGTGTGGAACTGACGTGGCATTTTATTATAATTTATACAATATTTCAGCCTAGAGCAATGGCTGTTTTATATTTTTTGCCATTCTCTCGCTATTTGTGGTGTTTGGAGCAAACTATGCACACACCTCATTGCAGAATTCTTTGATGTCATTTTGACAAATCATTAAGTGAAAGAGACTTTACCTGTTACAACGTTAGACTGTAGGAGGATGTTCTAGTGATACATATAGAATGCATTTGATCTTTATATGGTTTTATAGATGACACGATATTTAATTTCTTTACCGATTCTGACCTTTGGATTATACATCATTAAATCAGAGCTGCGGGTTCTGACCTTGTATTCGTCTCAGAGATTTGGGATCTTTGAAAGCAGAAACTGTCATTCAATGTACTTACCCCCAGCCAGTGGCCACCCTCCCCTGCCTGTCCCATTTAAGAGATATTTCACAATATGAATGATTTGTACGATTCCTGCAGTAATACTGTAGTCCCATGTAGCTAGGGCACAGCTAAGCGGAAAAGGGCCTTGACAGGGGTTAGGAGGCGGGCATAGCAGGAAGTAAGCAAGGAATGGAGTTAAGGGTAAGTAGGTTTGGCTATTTAAATAGGCAGCCATTTTAGGTGAGTCATTTCTAATTTCCTACCTGGTCGAGTTTGTCCCACCCACCCTCCCTGGTGTTTTTTGTTCATGTGTAGGGGTTATTCCGTTTTTTCACAGCGGTGGGATAGGGAGCTAAAGGAGAAGAAATGGGCTCCCCAGGATGAACGTGATGGAAAACAAAAAAGTTTTGGGCATCGGTGGTTGATAGGTTTCGAGTCCTGTCGGTGGCTCGGAACCTGCTGGGGTAGGGCATCCGGGTATAGCCATGCCATGGTTAATGGATGTAATGTATGGTTGGCACTTTAAGTTGGTATGTTGGGATAATGTTGGTGTATGATATATATATAAATGTGTTATTTACATGAGGGTCATTGCCTTTTATATAAACAGAAGGAGTCAGATGCGAGGGCGGAGTATGGGGGGCAATGACCCATGTTCTACTTGTTAAGTTATTATTATTATTATTGTTATTATTATTATAATTATTAGAATGGTTATTACTTAAGATTGTTTAATAAGGCTGTGGACAAATTTTCCCATATACCCAGTGTCTGTGCGTTATTGGGTTAGGTATGTGGGGTGATTGTCCTGGATTCCGACTGCCCAGATGGCGACTATACACCAGTCAAGCATCCAACACCGATCCCATTTATATCAGCCGGTCATCACATAGTATTCACATGTTTGTTGGTTTAATATAGATTTTACAGTTTGTGTTTTACTAATTATGGTTATGGTTTAATTAACTTTCCTTTGCACATTAACTATAGACACTGTAAAATCATCAAATCCTCTGTTTTTGTAAAATGCTGATTCATTTATCTAATTTTTTATCAGATATTTCTTGGATAAATTCAACAACTTCCACAGGTATGTATGATGTACCACCTACTGGCTCACATATTCCAACTGTAACCTTTTACAGCATTACTCTATTTATTATTATTATTAAAATGCTTCCTCTGGGAGCCAGGAAGAGGTTATCATCTTAGACAAGTTCCGTCTGTCTGTTGAATCTACCATTTGTCATTGATTGATACGTTTACTCGTACATTATTCCAGTAAAAAGGCTCAAAATGCACATGTCTTAATATTGCAGCTATATCAATGTAAGGTCTTAAAATGAACCATTTAATGGCATAACAGACCAATGGTTGCAGAACACTTGTAATATTAGACTGTTGCTTTTTCTTTAAATTAAATATGCTACAATGTGCATTTGTGTCTGAGATAATGTACTAAAAGGCTCAGTAATTTTGGCCAATTTCTTTCAGGTGACATCTGGGGTGACTTATGATAAGTAACACTTCCTATCACCAAACAAATAGGCTCAAAACAAATAAAATGGCTTAAACTTACATTGAACCAGTGCCGAGGCCAAGTTGACCCCACAGCCCTGACATCCTCTGATGATGTCAGTCACCCTTGCTTGAGGGAGACAGACATCATGGAGAGTGGGCTAAGAGAAGCACATGGGCGGCACAGGGGGAGAGGGGGAGGTTCTGTGTTGCTATTGGTTGTCTGTCACCAACATGTTGTGAGTTCTGATGAAAAGATGCCAAACATGCACAGGATTAACATTATCCAGGCTGGAACTCTTGTTATGGACTGGCTAATGGCACCCCAAGGATTGGTACATCTCCAGAAGCAGAGGGTTAAACTCATAGACATCAGTTAGTCATCACATTGTCTGCTGCTAGTTAAGGCAGGTGGTAGTTAGTAAGAATATGTTACTTTACATTAAAATATATTTTTATTTTGGAAGGTAGAATATTATAGGGGAGGTTTCACAGGTACATTCACACTCTATAACCATTTTCTTGCAGACGGTATAAATTCTTACAATGAGATAACACAGAAAATGTATAGTAACAGCACATTCTTCACATAACACAGATATTTAATTAATCTGTCCGATAGATGGCTTTCTTTAAATGACGCACAAATATGTTATCTATTTAATATTTTGATGATTTTGAGTCACTGCCCCTGACACACTAAGCTCGCCACTATTACCGTATTCTGTAATGTGTTCCGGTTTGAATTTCTGTTTCTTCCAATTGGGGTGTTTCTAGATAACATAGTGTTGATAAAAATCTATTTTAGTAATGTGTTTAGAAAGGTAGCGAAACACGTAAGGCATCAGTCATATTGTGTTTAGTGGGGAGTTATCAATATGTTATTGGTGAAACAATATTACACAACAGTTTAATATCCCAGTACTTGTATTGGAAATTAATAAATACAATATATTCTCTCATCAGATCTTTTCTATCCATATGGATCAGCCCTCGACACAATCTGTCAAAAAATAGACGATGGATCATCACCAATAATATATTCCACCACCCCAATACCACTGTTTGGCAGGTTGTACTCTTTTCTATATGTGAGTACAGTATTTCTTTACTATATTGATACTGAACAAGCCTTCTGTGAGCCACTAGTATTACAGATGAATATAACAGTTAAATTATAAATTGCCCTCTCTCAAAAAGCCACTGGTAACAAATACAACGTATACAAAGTATATGAAATTTCATTTGTTGTTTTTTTTTTGTAATTTGTAGAGTTTCTGATTTTTTTTTACTACTTTCTCTTACGTCCTCTGATACATATTTCTTTTGACTCTATGCACTTCACAAAAGTCTCAGACTATGTAAAGTCACTATACAAGGTGACGATCTTAAATGTCTTAAATTTCAGTTAATCTAATCATTCCAGCTGTTTTACTTCTGATGCACAGTATATAATACAGAAATACAGTAAATATGGTCATTACATAAATAGAATTAACATGACAAACAATTGGTGAACTCTGCAGGCAAGCAAGAATACATTAGTAAAATATAATTTAACATAATAAAATATACATCATCATTGCCCCAGGAGGAAATCAAGGAAAGATTTGTGTAGATTGTGGAATGTCTTGTCCAACAGCCCAACTGGAGACATCTCTCACACAAAAAATATTAATTCTATTTTTAAAATCACTCCTGAAAATATGGGAATGGGAGTTTCGATAAACAAAAAGACCTTTCTCTGCATTGAAAACAGTCAATCAAAGCAATGTATGGCCAGTTCTCCAGGAAGGTTCTACCAAAATTGGTAACATTAAGAAAAAAGATACAAAAATGAACTCAAACTAAGCCCTGAAAGTCCCCCGGTTGTCATAATTTCAAGTACTAAGGGACTCAACTGCAGATAAATAAGGTGAACGTGGATAAATTCAAGGCCAGAGCTAATTACACTCATTGGAGGATTTTATATGTATGTTAGTATGATAACAATATACCTTGTTATGGATATTGTAAAGCAGAGATATTTGTTCTAATGGGAGATGCAGTTCAAAATAGATGAAGAGACTATTTGTGCAGGTAGTGCTTGAGGCTGGAAAATAGAAGTCCACATTGAAGGCAGACATATTACTGGACTTGTCAAAAACTTCAAATCAGTGAGCCGAGTTATGGCATAGTCTGGATAACAGGAATTGGAGAGTTCAGGAGAAATGTTTTAAGTAGAGGTCTGGTACACAGAGATTCAATCACAGAGATCTTGATGGTAACTTTGTATCACAAGCAAAGCAAAATCACTGAGCGATACAAAGTTGCTGTGGCTTCCCTTTAATGTGGCTGCAAACCGCATCATCCCACGGAGGCAGAGTTCCATCATCGAGGAGCAGACCTGGAAGAGGCATTGGGGAAATCGGAGGTGCAGTAAGTTATGATACCAGTATACAAGGCAGAGAATTTCCAAAACCCAGCAAACTATTCTCAATATCTAAATACTAAATACTGTATATAAACAGTGATAACAACTGAACATTATTTTATCTTCATTTATTGACAGGTAAATCATAACGGATTGGTGTCATTCAGTGAACCAATTAGTCAGTTTACACCAAGCATAATTCCTATGGCTACCTGGAACCCCTATTTAGCCCCTTTCTGGGGAGATGTGGATAACAGATTAACAGGAGACATATATTACCGTCAGAGCATGGATTCAAGCCTCCAAGCACGGGCCACTTCCGACATCAGAGCCTACTTCAATTCTTCAAGTTTCACTTCTCGATGGGTGTTCGTGGCCACGTGGGACAGAGTCGCATATTATGGATCTGTTGTCAGTCAGGTATAGCTTCTCCTTAAAAAACAATAAATAGTTCATTACTGGTTTAACATCAACAAGTGATTTTTTTTTTTTTTTTAATGGTTTCTGTTACACTGTGGCCTTGTTTTAACATCTCATCCCATTTTGCGTCTCTGTGTCACATACAATATCCCTCCCACCCCAATCACGCATCGCTCCCACATAATGGTCACAAATTAACAATGCTTCCACAATTCGTAATATCTTAATTCTCCAGCCATCACATCCAGTGACTCTTGTCTCAGCTACCCATAATAACATTCAGATTGCCAGCTCATGCTTCTATGAAAACACTGTAAATGCAGACCTTTCCCTATGTATTCCACAGTGGAAACAATTGTTAGCATTCTGTTACGTACTCCTGATAAGATCGCTATTTAAAGATAGTTAAAGTGAAAAAAACTAAAAAAATTTGCTAAACCGAACTTATTGATTGTAGCAACAGACGAACACTTTCCAAGTAGTTCTGACCACCGATGGGAATGCCACATTTGTTCTGTTCAACTATGGGACCATCCAGTGGACAACAGGTACAGCCAGTGGGGGAGTGAGTGGACTTGGAGGAACCCCAGCTTTGGTAAGTATGGAGAGATAAATAAAATCTTACCTAACAGCCAACTGATATGGACGAAATGTTGATATAAAATTGCTGTGTGTCTGCTTTCAATAAATAAAAGGATATTCTAAACCTTTCTAAAGTCAGAAAATCAATCTGATTTATATCCATTTACAGATAATGTTCTGTTTTATTGTGTTGTTCATTCTCTACAGGTTGGTGTATACAGTGGAAACGTAAGCAGTTTCTATACTCTACCAGGTTCAATGACCTCGGACATCCTCAATGTGACGTCAACAAGCAATGTCCAAGTGCCCGGTCGTTGGGCTTTAGAAATAGACAAATACAACCCAGAATTTACTGTGCATGAATCACCAGGTAATTTCAGGATATAATATTAATTCCTTTTATATATATATATATATATATATATATATATATAAACTAACTGAACAAGTTCTTCAGTTCCCTATAGGACATTTTCATTGTTTATACGATTTGGAGATTCATTTCGTTTTGCACTGCAATTCATCCAAATTTGTGCCAATCAGGTGATCAGTTGAATTCCCGACATCTGAGCCAGAATGTACCCAAATTACAAACCAAACAAACTGCACAATGGCTGAACATGCTCCCTTTCACTCATGAGTTTGAATTCCATCCATGGCACCAAAAATAGAGATTATTGATAATAAAAAAAAAAAAAAGGTGATGATAGGTACAGGACAGTCACTAAACGTTGATTTTATTCACAGATCAGGTGAGCAATAGAAGGGGAAAGGAGAAACAGTAAAATAGTTATACAACTACTGTATAATCAAAATTATTCAACCCCAATTGAAAAGTGGGTTTATTGTCAAAATGTACAGACTTTCATTTGTTTGTAATGAACAAATCATACAAAATCAATAGAAATAGCTCAACACAACAATTCCTTTAAGTGGTTTCCCTAAATTCAACTGAAAATGCTACTTATACTGATTTCTCCAATCTCAAAAAATATTCAACCCTTGAATAGAATCCCTCACACCAGCACAAAAATGCAAAACAGATATTGTCTTAAGCATGCTGATGCAACTAATCAAGGGCTTCCCTAACTGCACCAAGTGTGCTTGAGCTGGAACACGTGCAATCCATGAATGAGGGGTTTGTTGAGTGTCACGTTTCACTACATGTTAGAATCATGGATAAGTCAAAAGAATGGTCCACAAAGTTAAGAGAAGAGATCCTCACCCTTCACAAACGATAAACAGGATCCAAAAAGATAGCAAAAGCACTAAAGGTTCCTAGAGACACCGCTTGAAGCATAGTTTGCAAGTTCAAAGTCGAAGGAACAGTGGTTACACTATCTAGACTGGGCAGAAAAAGGAAGCTACCAAATTTCTGAGAAGGCATGTTGTGAAGGCGTGCCTAATATCGGAGTACTTAAAGGGAGAGAGGGTTGTAATATGTAGGAGATGTGCTGATGATGTTGGGGGCATACCTCTCCTTCTCCCTATATATATATATGTGCCAGTCGCCCAGTCCTCTTTTCTCAGTTGTACTGTGCTCTCCTCAGTACTACTCCAATGTTATTCCTAGTACCTTTGTTACCTGACCTTTCTGCCTGTATACCTGTATATGAACCTGTACTAACTGGAGGAACCTTCTGCTATTCTGACAACGTCTTTGCCTTGCCCCTGTTGGTATCTCGTTTTGGTTGAACAAGCATTGTACCCTGGTACACCGTCTGTATTACAAATAGGAAACACAACCCGCCGGGGTCTTCTGCACAATGCTCTGTACCCCCCCCCCCCAACACCAGGGGCATGGAGGGTAGCCTTACTACTGGCTTCACCGGCATTTCCCTGGGGGGCAGGCCATCAGCCAGCACGGTAGTTACTCATGGGGGCGGAGTTCGGTCAGCACTCACTGCCGGGCACACTCCTTCAATAGCCAACGGAGGTTTATTCTGCCGTCAAGCGTGGTCACAACACAAGCTCTGCCTGCCTCATTAGCAACGCAGAGGGGCGGGAACGCATTAGGCAGTACAAAGATCATCACTCTCAGCCACACCAGGCCTCATAGAGTGAGTGATACCTCCTCAGGGGGAAATCAACGGTTACACATATTGTAACCGCATGTGGTTCCCTTATTTACCACTATAATGTCTTAAAGCATAGAACTTAGTAGGGCTAACCATACAGATATCTTAGCCATAATTTTATATAGTTAGTAAGAGATCCTCTATTTAACATATCTAAATAATTGAGTGTGGCGAAACCGGCCTCGCAACGTGTCCTTGGAGGGGGCTGCTTGCCCGCCTATTGCCTTTGGACTATGGACCAGACTTTATGTGAACGTGTTAACCCAGATAGCTATGCCATGGAGCCCATTCGTGTAGTTAAAGACTTCGGCTCCATGGCAATTGAACTGTGTGAATAGGATCTGAGCGCTATTCAGTAGTTTTGTGCGCTCAGATCCCAGCTATCTGGGAATATGTGACATGTCTGTGTTTTATGTATAAAATGTGACTTTGTGTATTTTATAATATTTTAATGCTTTGTGCTCACCATGTGCATAATGGAGTCTTGTGTCTGTCCTAGGAGATAATTGAACTTATCTCCAGGATAGAAGACTCTGAAACTGGTTTGGGCCGGAAAGCCATGCTTCATTTAGTCACAAAGGACTTTCCCTTAACTTTTGAACCCCTGGTCTGATTCGTGCCATTTTTTAATATGTTGTTCCCCTGAATGGATTGATTATGAAAATGTATGTTTTATGTTTGTGACATGTATATTTTAGAAGTTATAAATATTGTGTAAAAACTGTATTCCTCTGCCGGTGATAATGAGATTACCCATTGTGTTCAGTAATCATATCACAGGCAGAGGGGAGGATTTTGTGTGGGAGTGTCTGGGTGTATTGTACGGATTGATTGGTTGTTTTGTAACACCCTGTGGGCTGTACTATGGTTGTGGATTGGGAATAAAAGAGACTGTATGTGACAGTACAGGGAGTTCCTGCTTAACCCTCAAAGTGAAGTGTCGTCTCATTATTGGGGGAAGGATTTATTGTATGCTGTTCTAGTTTGACTGCTAGGAGAGTAAACCTATTCGTATGGTTCCTATTCAACTGTCTACAGCATTCAAATGCTTGGAAGAATTTATTTGTTTCTCCGGTTCGGTGATTGTGGTGTCTGCCAGAGTGCTTGGAGTCCTCAGGAAACGCTAGGAGCATCCTTCAACGGAGATACCCAGTCGGGGTGCCAGGCGATCCGTTACATTGAGAATACAATATAAAATAAGGATTGTCTTGGAAGCAATAGTTTTGTCTTTTTGGATATTTATTATATCAAAATATAAATATAAAAACCATTATAGCAGAGTTTATAAGATTAAATTACATGCTTGCAAATATCATTAATAGGTTAACATACCCTTCTGAACATGTCATCATGTCAGCCTCTCATTTTAAGATGGAGCAGCGTCTGTCTCCAAGTCTCTCCTCTGTGTCTTAACATTTAAAAGTACACCTATTTATACCTTAGGGTTACCGTAGTTCATTTACTTTATTCATTTTAGGACCTCCCTTAATTTGGCAAACATGCAAGGCCATAACTAAAGGGTGCATACGTCATGGAAATTTTCCTGCCTTAGTTCAAGATGGCATCTTAAAGTCTGAATAGGTTATCTGTTGTTTATACGAAGTCGTAAGTGCGCAGTCGTGGGAGATTCTCGGATTTGGGGAAGTTCCATTAACTTGGGGTTACCACAGTATATTGTGTACTGCAAGAGTCGTAGCATAGCCTTGAAGCTTGTTTATGCATTATTGTTATTGTAATTCGTTCGGGACAAAATGGCGCAAACATATTATGCACTGAGGTTATTGCTTAAAGAAACAGTTATGAAAAACAATATGTTCCATTTCTAACACCTTGTCAATTTGCAGTATCTCTTAAAGACAAAGTACACAGTTTAAGAAATACAACATATCACTCTAAAACTTGAAATATTTGCATTTGCCCATAACAATATGAACACATCATTTTCATACTTAGAAATTGCTCATGTTATTTGCACATTATGGTCAATATAGGTTATCCTCTGTGTCATGTTTTCTAGTCTTTGTTACAAACTTTGCTTTTTCAAACAAGTCCAGATATCTTACAACGGGTGATCAGGTTTAAGTGCAGCACAACGCCACCTGGTGGCCTTGTTACACACAGCCTATAATAAACAATCACTGTTTCTATGTATTCTATGTTAGAATTCCATTGCTATGTCTTAATTTACATATTTCTTAAAGACTGTTAGCACTTTCAGGCAGTATGGAGAATACGTTTTCCCGGTTGGATTTCAGTTGACTATTTATAACAGTATTGTGTCATTCTGATCTATAGGTCTGCTTTCGTGTTTATAGATCTAGTCAGAGCTCAAGAAGTGTTTTGTTGCTTTCTAACTGGTACGTGTATTAAGTAACAGTTACAAGTTTCTTAAATCATAGCTGACGGGCATTCTCCCCAAGGGGGGCATTTAGCTGTATATGTTAACTCAGTATTTGTCATTTTGATCTCTAGGTCTGCTTTTGTGACAGAGGTCAAGAGTGTTGTGTTTCCTACCAATTGGTACGTGCATTATAGGTAACAGTCATGCGTTTCGTTACTCAGACATAGTACTGCAATTCAGTGAGCAGAAGCATAAATGCACTCAAGGTACAAACGGTACTGAGCAGACATTTATGAACCTACTATGACTTTATTCTCACATGTGTTACAGACTCAAGGCTCCAAACTTAGACAATCTTGGCTCATCAAGCTCATAGATCGTATGTGCCAAGCTAGGACAAGCTTGACACACCACCTAAAGGTCATAGGTGGGTAGATCATAGTGGATTTAAACAATACGGTTCTGGGGGATATTCAGCAGGTTGGAGTATCATGCAAACTTACATACTTACCACCTTCCTTTTATTCTGTTATCTACCCAGCTTGGTTTAGGCCTCCCTCCTTAGCAGGATTTCAGACTACCGCTGGGCAGAGCCAAGCATACATTGTTCAACAGGTATGTTGCTCCCGCTTCTTTACTCAGCCATATACTTGGCTTTCTACGGCTTCCTCAGACCACGAGAGTTCACTATCACGGGGCAACACGATGGTCAAAATTGCCTTTGCACGTCATACCTTAACAAGCAACAACACCATCATGTGCTGAGCTTACCCACAACTTAGACTAGTCAGATGGGTCAAACCGTCCATTACTACCCCACCGACAATTACTAACCCATCGACAATTCATGGTGCCTGGTAAATGTTTTCGACGCATACCTACTTTCAGCACCCACTCACGCCTCACTCCCTCTCCTGTCACTTCACAGGGCTACCCTCACCACGTCTAAATTCATGGTATATATACGACTATTGTTGACACAACTATTGCTTGAACGCCAACAAATATTCAGGGCACTCATTCAGGATAGCCAAGACATTCCGGTACATGTGATCAAAACATTAGGTCATCAGCCTATGCTGTTTATATACCTCAACCAGTAAAGGAGATAAGAAAGGCATTTGTTAAGATGTCCTCATAGATATGTTGGTATGATGTCATGTGGTTTCATAATAAATATCTTTTTGAGCAAGATTGGTATTCCTTTTGCCCACTTATTTACATTACCTGGCCCACCCTCCACTCCCTCTATTCAACTCTATCTAAGGTAGGCCCACTTATTTACAGGCCTACCACATACGTCGGTATCGGCACACCTCAACCAACTTTGCTTATTAAAGGTAGATGACTTAATCTCTATTTCAGTTCCATTACTGAAATGGCCCTGAACACAACTAATATATATCTATATCTAATTTAAAAAATACAATGTGTGTTTGTGATAAGAGTAACAGGTTATACTTGGGGGACCGTGTTATAAATTATTGAGTATTTTAACATAGATCATATTTTGTGCCATTTTTTTTCAGGTGGCTCATGGGTAAATTCTTCAGTAGATGTTACAAATGCCACAGGAAATGTTTCCACAACTACCACGACTTCATCTACAACTACCACGACTCCAACTACAACAACTACAACTACCACAACTCTAGATACAACTACCACTACTCTAGATACAATGACCACGGCTCTAGCTACAACTACCACAGATCTAGTTACAACTACAATGATTCTAGATACAACTACCACGACTCTAGATATAACCACCACGACTTTAGATACAACTACCACGACTCCAGCTACTACTACCACGACTCTTGATACAACTACCACAGATCTAGTTACAACTACAATGATTCTAGATACAACTACCACGACTCTAGATATAACCACCACGACTTTAGATACAACTACCACGACTCCAGCTACTACTACCACGACTCTTGATACAACTACCACAGATCTAGTTACAACTACAATGATTCTAGATACAACTACCACGACTCTAGATATAACCACCACGACTTTAGATACAACTACCACGACTCCAGCTACTACTACCACGACTCTTGATACAACTACCACAGATCTAGTACAACTACAATGACTACTACCATAGATACAACTACCACTACCACGTAGATATAACCACCACGACTCTAGATACAACCCGGACTCTAGATATAACTACCACACTCCAGCTACTACTACCATGACTCTAGATACAACTACCACGACTCTAGATATAACTCTACCACGACTCCAGCTACTACTACCATGACTCTAGATACAACTACCACGACTCTAGATATAACCACCACGACTCTAGATATAACCACCACGACTCTAGATACAACTACTCTATACCGACTCTAGATACAACTACCACGACTCCAGCTACTACTACCATGACTCTAGATACAACTACCACGACTCTAGATATAACCACCACGACTCTAGATATACCATGACTCTACAACTACCACGACTCTAGATACAACTACCACGACTCTAGATACAACTACCATGAGATACAACTACCACGACTCCAGCTACTACTACCATGACTCTAGATACAACTACCACGACTCTAGATATAACCACCACGACTCTAGATACAACTACCATGACTCTAGATACAACTACCACGACTCCAGCTACTACTACCATGACTCTAGATACAACTACCACGACTCCAACTCCAACTACCACATTGTATACTAATACAGGTAAGTGTTCTCTAGTTACTATTGCTAGTTTGTGAGAGAGACAGAAAAGCAACTCTCATTTATTATTACTTTATTTGGATTAAGCTTGTTTTTGCAGTAGGTTGTTTGTGGTAGGTTATTATTTTATTGTTATTTGTTAATGACCTTAATTTAATAATTTTCGATAAGCTTTTCAAAGCTTTACAATTAATTTTAGATATGTTTAAACATATCATCAAAATATATCGAAATATGAAAAAATATTAAATCATTTAAAAAGCTGATCCACAAATATTAAACCAAGTCCATTATTGGATCACTCTGAATGTAAATTGGTAAAATATGTAGCAAAATATTCCCAAAATGTAAAGAAATTTGCTTTGAATTGGATATTGATAGTCAAGGCTTGAGTAAAACGTGTATAATAAAGCCCGGTGGTCTGAGCTAGCCAGAAAACTAAATCCATCCACTGGGTTTTATAAGGAAACTATTAATATATAGCTATACAATGTGGTCACATGAGAAATAAAATTTATGACCTGCCGGCGCTTGTGCCTGGGATGTGCCGCAAGCCATGCCTGCATTTCTCTCTGATGCAGCCTCTCCACCCTCCTTACAGACGCCGCCCACTGCACTCCAGAGCCTTTTAGAGGTTCCACCTCCTCTGACAGTTAAAGGGACACTATAGTCACCAGAACAACTACAGCTTAATGTAATTGTTCTAATAAGTAGAATCATTCCCTTCAGGCTTTTTGCTGTAAACCCTAGGGACAACTTCAGTGGCCACTCCTCAGACGGTCACTGGAGGTGCTTCCTGGGGCAGTGCTGCACAATGTTTAGAACTGAAGTTCAGCATTTCCACACCCTGCATGGACAAATTGAATTTTCCCAATAGAGATCGGACCCGCGCAATGCTTGAAATAAGCTAACTTTTATTACCATTTCTGTTAAAGCACAGCGTATCTGAGCTATATTTGTGGCTACATTACAAATTGAGGATTGCACCCCTCCATAGCGCCGCTGGCCATTCTTTGGAATTATTTTCTATATTCTCACTCTGTATTTGTTTTCCAGGGGGCTCCCTCTACTGCATAGAGTGTGTGAACACCACGGGTTCTACCTGTACCGGGAGCAACGTGGCCTGTCCCACTGGAAGCATCTGTGGATCTCAGTACACAGTAACCCGTTTAGGTATGTGGTTAAAGTGACATTATTGCCACCAAATGTGGCCTGTCGCACTGGAAATGTCTGTGGATCTCAGTACAAAGTAACTAGTTTGGGTATGTGGTTAAAGGGACTCTATTCACACTTTTGATGCACTTCTTCACCCTGTGACTCCCCCTCCTTCCACCACCTTGTCCGCCACAAACTTTGCATCTCATTTCACTGAGAAGATCTCTACAATCAGGAAAGAGATCTCTACTCTTTCTCCAACCAGTATCAATACATCACCCAACCCCACTCCCCCTGCCATCCTAAGCTCATTTGCACCTGCTACAGCACAAGAAGTTTCTGCTCTGCTCCTGTCCTCCCGCCCCACCACCTGCTCCCTCGATCCTATTCCCTCGCATCTCATCCGCACTTTGTCTCCCTCTCTTGCTCTTCCTCTCGCTAACATTTTCAATCTCTCCCTTTCCTCTGGCACATTTCCCTCTGCCTTCAAACATGCAACCGTAACCCCAATTCTGAAAAAGCCCAACCTTGATCCCAACTCCCCATCCAACTACCGCCCTATCTCGCTACTGCCATTTGCCTCCAAGATCCTCGAGAGAGTTGTCTACGCCAGATTGACAGACTTTCTTGAATTCAACTCTCTGCTTGACCCCCTTCAGTCTGGATTCCGCGCTGGTCACTCTGTCGAAACTGCTGTGACCAAAGTATCCAACGATTTAATTTCTGCTAAATCTCGCGGCCAATACTCTATCCTAATCCTCCTTGATCTTTCTGCCGCCTTTGACACTGTTGATCATCAACAGCTTCTTCACATTCTCCGTAACTTTGGTCTACGGGATTCTGCTCTCTCCTGGTGCTCCTCCTACCTCTCCCAGCGCTCCTTCAGTGTTTCTTTCTCTGGCTCTGCCTCTTCTCCCCAACCCCTCCCTGTCGGTGTCCCCCAAGGTTCTGTCCTCGGCCCCCTACTGTTCTCTATCTATACTGCCTCCCTTGGTAAACTCATCAGCTCTTTTGGCGTCCAATACCATTTAAATGCAGATGACACGCAAATCTACCTGTCCTCCCCTGATCTCTCTCCGCCCACCTTGACTCGTGTTTCTGACTGCCTCTCTGCTATTTCCAACTGGATGGCTGCTCACTTCCTTAAACTCAACATGTCCAAAACAGAACTTCTAGTTTTTCCTCCCTCAAGTGCTGCTACTCCTGTGTCTGTCGCCATCCAAGTCAACGGCGCTACTATCACCTCTACCTCCCAGGCTCGCTGCCTAGGAGTTCTTTTTGATTCTGATCTCTCTTTTACTCCCCATGTTCAATCGATAGCCAAATCCTGTCGCTTCCAACTCAAGAACATAGCGCGCATCCGCCCATATCTAACGCCGGACGCGGCTAAGGTACTGGTTCATGCTGTTGTTCTCTCTCGCCTTGACTATTGCAATCCCCTTCTCACCGGTCTTACATGTTCCCAGCTTGCACCGCTGCAATCTATAATGAATACGGCTGCGAGGCTTATTTTCCTTTCCGGTCGCACCTCTCACGCCTCCACGCTCTGTCAGTCCCTGCATTGGCTTCCAGTTAGATATAGGGCCCAATTCAAAATTCTGGCACTTGCTTACAAATCCCTACATAATGCTGCCCCAACATACCTATCCTCCCTCATACACAAGTATGTCCTGTCGAGACCCCTGCGCTCAGCCCAAGACCTACTCCTATCCTCTGCCCGGATCCCCACCTCTGATGCTCGCCTTCAAGACTTCTCCAGGGCTGCACCTATTCTGTGGAACTCCCTTCCCTCCTCAATCAGACTTTCACCCAGCCCCCATTCCTTCAAAAAATATTTGAAAACTCACTTCTTCATTAAAGCATATCAATTAAACTGTCAGCAGGTTTCTCATCCCCCACCCCATGACTCCGTTCCTTCACCTGTCAAAAACGACCTACCAAGCACTCAATAAACCCTTCTGTAACAAACTATTTAATTCCCCTACTTTAACCCTTTGTGTCACTATACCCCACTCCCTCTAGCATGTAAGATCATCGAGCAGGGCCCTTAACCCCCTCTGTTCCTGTACGTCAGTGGTCTGATCTCAATTATGTGTCTGTTAGTCCACCCATTGTACAGCGCTACAGAATTTGTTGGCGCTATATAAATAATAAAATAATAATAATAATAAATAGTCACCACGTGTGGCTTGTCACACTGGGAGTGTCTGTGGATCTCAGTAAACAGTAACTAAATTGGGTCTGTGGTTAAAGGGACACTATAGTCACACTTGTGGCCTGTCCCACTGGAAGTATCTGTGGATCTCAGTAAACAGTAGCTAGTTTGGGTATGTCGTTAAAGAGACACTATAGTTACCACACGTGGCTTGTCCCGCTAGGAGTGTTTGTTGATCTCAGTACACAATAACTAGTTTGGGTATGTGGTTAAAGGGACACTATAGTCACCCTGTGTGGTCTGTTCCACTGGAATCATCTGTGGATCTCAGTAAAAAGTAACTAGTTCAGGTATGTGGTTAAAGGGATACTATAGGCACTACGTGTGGCCTGTCCAACTGGTAATATCTGTGGATCTCAGTGCACATTAGCTAGTTTGGGTATGTGGTTAAAGGGACACTATAGTTAACATGCTTGGCCTGTCCAACTGTAAGCGTCTGTGGATCTCAGTACACAGTAACTAGTTTGGGTATGTGATTAAAGGAAAACTATAATCACCATGTGTGACCTGTCCCCCTGGGTGTGTCTGTGGATCTCAGTACAAAGAAACTAGTTTGGATATATGGTTAAACAGACTCTTTAGTCACCACGTGTGGCCTGTCCTACTGGGAGTGTCTTTGGATCTCACTATACAGTAACTAGTTTAGGTATGTGGTTAAAGGGACACCATAGTGACCAGACGTTACCTGTCCCACTGGGAGTGTCTGTGGATCTCACTATACAGTAACTAGTTTAGGTATGTGGTTAAAGGGACACCATAGTGACCAGACGTTACCTGTCCCACTGGGAGTGTCTGTGGATCTCACTATACAGTAACTAGTTTAGGTATGTGGTTAAAGGGACACCATAGTGACCAGACGTTACCTGTCCCACTGGGAGTGTCTGTGGATCTCACTATACAGTAACTAGTTTAGGTATGTGGTTAAAGGGACACTATAGTGACCAGACGTTACCTGTCCCACTGGGAGCTTCTGTGGATCTCACTATACAGTAACTAGTTTAGGTATGTGGTTAAAGGGACACTATAGTGACCAGATGTTACCTGTCCTACTGGGAGTGTCTGTGGATCTCACTATACAGTAACTAGTTTAGGTATGTGGTTAAAGGGACACCATAGTGACCAGACGTTACCTGTCCTACTGGGAGTGTCTGTGGATCTCACTATACAGTAACTAGTTTAGGTATGTGGTTAAAGGGACACCATAGTGACCAGACGTTACCTGTCCCACCGGGAGTGTCTGTGGATCTCAGTACACAGTAAGTAGTTGGGTATGTGGTGAAGTAGATCATGGTATGAGGTTCACAGAGGAACTGACAGTATACCTCACTGCTCTATTTCTAGTCAGAAGATGTATCTCAAAACTTATTTAAGAAATGTAGTTCCTATATATAGGTCGGAGTTATGCAGTATTGTTTACTTGTTTTTAGAATTAGTTTTGTCTCTAAACCCAATGTAAAATGATCTTAGATGTTCTTTATTTATATTACCATTGTGCATCACCTGCATATCTAGAGATGGACTTTAAGAAGTCAGCATTCGGCTCAGGAACTTGTCAAATTATGTTTCCAAACTATCCCAGAGTTCCCATCTCGATGTACAGATGAGGACAGACAGGTATTGTGTTTCAGACTTTATTCTGCATTTCTGTTCTTTTCTCGTACAATGTACAGACAGGGCGGTTTTTGAAAAGATTTCCAGGAAATGTCTGCCAGAGAAGCAGTGCAGTGTGAGTGGAAGCTATAGCTTTAACCGCGAAAAGATCACAACTGCAACGTCATGTTGTAACAGTAGTGGATGTACCCCGACATTCCCCACATGTGAGTAAAATGGAATGTTACCAATAAAATGAACTTAGGATATAAGTAACATGAAAGTTATATCTCTCTAATTTTGGGATTCCTCGAAATCATCAGTTTGGATTCTAATCTAATTTTTTATCTGCTTTAATTAAAGTGCCAGCAGGAAGCTCGGAGCCCAACGGTGTGACCTGCCCAACATGTTCCATTCCAGGCTCCATTGTGTGCTACAGTGGGGAAAACATTCAATGTACTGGGAATGAGACCATGTGCTTCCTGCGAGGGTCCACCATAACAGGTAAAGTAACGCCAATCTTACCACTGGGGACTTTATAGTCATACGAACTGATTTCACCCGCAGTGCAAATGTGTCACCTTTAACAGCTTTGTATTATTCTAAGTTTAATAACTAAATGTGAGATCACTGATGAACACTATTTATTGAATTTGGGAATTCTTATTTGGACGAATGTGAATTTGTCAGAATTTTACAAAATTAGCTCATTCGCACAAAACAAGAATAAACAAATTTGCACAAAATGACCTCTGTGCACTTCATTCATTCGTCATTCGTCTTATAACATAAAAGGGGAGGTAGGGGTATGAGGGGTGGCTTAAACCTAGCTTATACTAGAACAGCGGTCAGACTGACCATATTAGGCTTCTATCTGTTCATGTAACCTGTTAGTGGATTGGGAGAAGGAAGGCAATGAGTGAGAGGTTAAAAATGAAAACAAATTGTCTCAATTACATTTACCACAAAAATCTGGAAACAAACTTTATATGAACCGAACCAAGTAGATGCAATTTCCTGTCTGTGCACAATTCTACTATTTATTGAAACCTGTATAATGTTTATAAAGAGACAGAACTTTATACCAAAATACCACCCTTTCTGTAGGTCGCGCTTCACTTTACAGACGTAGAGAGTTTTATTCACTCAGTATTGTTTAGTGTTGAGAATTGAATTCAGTTTTCATTTCACTGGACGTCGAGGATGAAATGTTTATAGGGTTAATAAATTGACATTGTGGCAGGCTTATGTAATGTATGATCATATATTGTAACTAAATCCCCATTTTTTTGTACCCAAATCAGGCGTTTTTAAATAAATCTATTATATTTTGTGACCCTTCGTTATTTTGCAGTTGGTTTTTAGGGAGTGAGTGTGCTGGATCTTGAATATTTTATGTTTACCTACATATATTCAGTCTTTTTCTCGCACTGGTAATTACAGGGACACTGTAGTCACTGTAACAATGCCATTTTGATGAAGTGGTTATAGTGTCTGGAGTCCCCAGATGTTGTCCCTCTATTACTTAATAAACCATTTTCAAGCAGTTTAACACTAAATGAGGTTCGCTGCCCACCAATAACCCTTTCCCCACTAGAGGTGTGGCTAAGGCAGAGATTATACAGTTCCTTATAGCCATACTAATTCATACCTGCAATGGGGGCTGTGATAGGTGAAAAGCAGTCAGCTGACACTCTCGGCCAATCACAGCCTGCTGCTCAGGCTAATACTACCTCATTAAGCCACGCAGTACAAAGGGGATGGGCCGCTGGTTTTACCATTAAAACATAAAAACATTAAAACCTGTCTTACACTGAATAAAAGGAAGTGGACAGGGGAATCCAGACACTATTACCACTGCATTGAGATGAAGCAAAAAACGTGCCTACAGTGTCCCTTTAAGACAATGTTGCAAAGCTGCATTTACATATTCTTGTTAAGAAGCCTTGATTTTATATTTCTGCTTAAGGAGCGTTTTAAAAAAACACAACATATTTTAAGATATTGATTCAAACTTTCACCGCGGTGTATTGTGCTCTTGTTAATAGCTGACTGATGTAAAACATATTTTGTTACATTTCTTCTCTACAGAAAATCTGCAATCTCTTTCAATTCGCGGTTGTGCCACAAAAAGTGTTTGTGATAATGAAATTCCGTCCTCGGTCACCGGTTTTACAGATACAAATGTTAGGTTCTTCTGTACCGTGCCCGGAGACGACTGTCAGTGTCAGTACCAATTATTTTATTGTTATTTTACTGATTTGTTTTCTGAGGTGGACGCATAATGGACAGACAGATGAGTGGTTAGATAGATGGATAGATGGAAGGAAGGACATCTGGGTGGATGGATCATGGATGGATTGATCGATGCTGTATCGATGGGTGGGTGGATGAAGGCATGGATGGTAGGAAGGACATATTGGTGGATTTATCACGAATGGATTGATATATGATGTGTGTAAGAATGGATGGGTGTGTGGGTGGATGGATAGATGGATAGATGGCCAAACAGGTGGGTGGATCATAGATGGATGGATTGGTGGATGGGTAGGTGAGTAGGATGGATGTATAGATGGACAGAAGGATGGATGAACAAACAGATGGATGGATGGACAGACAGGTGGGTGGATCATGGAGGGGTGGATGGACGGATGGATGGATAGATGAACGGATGGATGGATGGGTGGATGAATGGACAGGTGGATAGAAGGATGGATGGAAGGGTAGATGGATGGACAGAGGGATGGATGGAAGGATGAATAGATGGATGGATGAGTAGGTGGTGGGATGGATTAATAGGGGAATGAATAGGTGCGTGGGTGGATGGATGGATGGTATGACGGACCACCTGGCACCCCTGACTGGGTACCTCCATTAAGCTCGCTTCCTAGCTCTCCACCGGGACACAGGAGTGCTTCAGCTCCCAGCCGCCACAGTTTGGCTGGGGTTTCACCGTCGCTTCCTGCCCTGGAACAAGGTCCTGGGTACAGCTTCAAATGATTGAGCTCTCCTGCAGACATTATAGCTGATCCACCAAAACACTAGTCCAGACTGAGTGAAGGGTGAAAGGGAACTGCTTTATTATGGCCAAGTTGCCTGCTTATATACACAAACCCCTGCAGGGATTTACCACACAATACAATGCAAGCCCCTCCCAAAGATCTCTGAGTCTGGAAGATAATTGAATTAAAGACCGGTAAGCTAATTACAGTGCCTTGCTAAAGTATTCACCCCCCCCCAAGACTTTTTACCTATTTTGGTACATTACAGCCTTAAGTTCAATGTTTTATTAATCTGAATTTTATGTGATGGATCCGAACACAATAGTCTATGTTGGTGAAGTGAAATGATAACAATATATACATAAAACTATTTTTTAGAAATAGAAAACAGAAAATTGGCATGTGCGTATGTATTCACCCCCTTTGTTATTAGTGAAATGATGTCCACCTGTGTGCAATCTAAGTGTGAAAAAAGCAAAATACACCTAAAAATATACAATAGAGAAAACACTCATAGAGTAATAATATACCGTATTTATCGGCGTATAACACGCACCGGCGTATAACACGCACCTCCTTTTAAGAAGGAAATTTCAGGAAAAAAAACCTTAAATTTCAAATAAAGAACTTCTTACCCCCTTCTTACTCCCCCCTCCCCCTCTTCTTACCCCCCTTTCTTACTCCCCCTCCCCCTCTTCTTACCCCCTTTCTTACTCCCCTCCTTACTTCCCCCCTCTTACCCCCTTCTTACTCCCTCCCCTCTTCTTAACCCCCTTTCTTACTCCCCCTCCCTCTTCTTACTTCCTCCCCTTCTTACTCCCCTCCCCTTTTCTTAACCCTTTCTTACTCCCCCTCCCCCTCTCTTACCTCCCCTCCTCTTACCCCTTCTTACTCCCTTACTCTCTCCCTCTTCTTGGCAAAAATCCCAGTGGCAAAAGGTGGCTCTACAAAGTATTGAGTTTAGGGGGTGAATAGTTATGCAAAAAAATAAAAACCTTCAAAGTTGTGGGCATGATCTGTAAATTAAATGATACAAATCCTCAAACAATCCATGTTAATTCCAGTTGTGAGGCAACAAAACACGAAAAATGCCAATGGGGGGGTGAATACTTTTGCAAGGCACTGTATCTCCCTGGAGCAGAGAGCCCAACACAAAACATAAAAACATGAAAGTACTCCAAAACATAATAAAAACATACAATAACCACACATGTCATACATCCCTAAAAAGCCATGATCTGAAAGCCCAAGTTGTCCAAATAGCACTCATATCAATGCAGTGGTAGGGAAAATGCCACTGTGTTAAAGTTCTGACCGGCCACACACGTGGTCCTATGGCCAAAATAGTTCCAGGGTGTTTGGTGCTTCTGCTGGTCAACTTTCGGGAGCTCCTGCATCCGAAATACCGGGTGCTCAGCAAGTCTCTCAGGTTGTTCCTCTTAGTCTCAGGCAACTTCCCTCCAAAAAGCGTTCTCCTGGGGGTTGCAAACTAAATCAAAACCCCGGACCAAGTTGTCTGGGAACCGCACGGGTCACCTCATGCTGAAAAAATATAACATTCACGGCTAAGTCCCGCTGACCGGGAATTATGAAGTCCTCCGACCAAAAACAGTTCCATAGCAGTCACGGCTGAGTACTGATGAGGACCATTCGGGGTTTCTTCATGCAAATGGCCCCCAGGGAGCTAGTGTTCTGTTCCATTGGAACGAAGGGAAAGTGCCAAACCAGGGGTACCCAGGGAAAGCTGTTAATGTTGGCTGGGCAGGCATGGGCGTCCGCAGGAATATTTTCGAGGGGGGCATAATTGTAATGACATCCATGCTGGGCCCCATTTTGACAGTGTCATTAAGGTAAGGAGCATACTCATTATCACATGAAGCATAAGCAGGCAAAGAGTAAAGAAACCTGATGCAAAATCTTATTAGAAGAATCAAGTTGACATTATGTGATTTAAGTATTGAAATTTCTAATCTGTTTTAATATTAACACTACTCAATGCACCCCATTAGTCATACAGCCATGATCAAGGCACTATCACTGAATTAAAAAAATACAAATGTGCAATCTACATTTCGCGTTACATTTGGCCACAGCAATAGGTGGCATGCACAGCACCAGATTGCAACCACAGTACCAGATTTCACTTGCCACAGTCCCAGACTGCACACAAAGCTATTGCCACATCAGAAGGTAGCATACACAGCGGTTACTACAGAACTTTGAGACACTCACAGCACCAAAAAGTACCAACAGAACCAGATTGCACCCACAACACTTCCCACACCTTATAAATGCCACTACTACTACTACTAATAATAATAATGAAAAGGAAAAAAAGCTTTTGTGTCCTCCCCCCCCAACTTGTGCCCATTCTCTCATATCCCATCCACACACACCTTCAACTTTTTTCATATCTCCCGACCCAACTTGTGCCCATTCTCTCATATCCCATCCACACACACCTTCAACTTTTTTTCATATTCTCCATGTTTCCATTCTCCATATTCTCCATGTGTCCATTTTCTAGTAACTCCCTACACCCACCTTCATATTTCTCCATATTCCCCCGTCTCTCACCCCTCATTCTGTCCCTTTCTCCATATATTCTCCCTGTCTGTTCATTACCTAACTGTATAGTAATTCTCTCCCTACCTGCGCTGGTGTATTGTGGCTGAGTGGCTTGGGACTGGTAGTCCTACCAGCTCAGTTTGGTGCCACCTGCAGGTAGGCGGGAGCAGTGATAAAAATCAATCCCTGCTCTCTATTGCAGCCCACTCTCAGGAATGAACACTCGGCTGCTTCATGTGGAGTGTGGCTGAGCACAAACTGTAAGTGCAGCCTTTTTATTTTAAAGTTATTAAACAAAGTACCCACTTCAAGTTATCCTGCATGGGTACCTGTGGGGAAGAAGGGCAAATTGAAATTTCCGGGGGGGAGGGGGCAAGCGCCACTTCTCCCCCCCTCTGGATGCCCCTGTGGGCTGGGTAACTCCAGAACAAGGTCTCAGACCTGGACCATAGTTGGCGGGCAGGAGTCTCCTGGATCAGTCCTCCAGGAGTTCGTGGCAAACGTCCTAGGAAAAGAGCGTTTGTCACAGATGGTCAGACAGGGGGATGGATCATGGATGGATGAATGGAAAGATGGATGGACGGATGGTTGAATGGATGGATGGATAAATGGAAGGATGAGTGGGAGGATGGAAGGATGGATGGATTGAAGGAATGATTGAAGGATGGAAGGATGGATGGATGGATGGATGGATGGATGGATGGATGGACAGACGAATACAGTTCTTATACAGTAGTTATGGCATAAAGAATATAGGGATTGGTGACCTATCAGAGCAGAAAATCTGATCTTACTTTCCCTAACTAATGCAATGCTTTGTTTTTTAAACAGGTAAGAGATGCCAATCGTTCCTGCCCTAACTGTGTACAGTGAAGACACATAACACCAGGTGACACAGATTCAGGAAATACACAGAGGGAACTGGAGACACAACAACAATTCAACAAAATATTAAAATGAATGTGACAAATCATTCTAATTATAGCTACAGTATTTCAGATAATGAATTGAATTCCCCATGCAGTAATGATACTTGTTATATCAGATAATGAATTCCCCATGCAGTAATGATACTCGTTATATCAGATAATGAATTCCCCATGCAGTAATGATACTCGTTATGTCTGATAATGAATTCCCCATGCAGTAATGATACTTGTTATATCAGATAATGAATTCCCCGAGCAGTAATGATACTCGTTATATCCGATAATGAATTCCCCGTGCAGTAATGATACTCGTTATATCAGATAATGAATTTCCCGTGCAGTAATGATACTCGTTATGTCTGATAATGAATTCCCCATGCAGTAATGATACTCGTTATGTCTGATAATGAATTCCCCGTGCAGTAATGATACTCGTTATATCCGTTAATGAATTCCCCGATCAGTAATGATACTCGTTATGTCTGATAATGAATTCCCCGTGCAGTAATGATACTCGTTATATCAGATAATGAATTCCCTGTGCAGTAATGATACTCGTTATGTCTGATAATGAATTCCCTGTGCAGTAATGATACTCGTTATGTCTGATAATGAATTCCCCATGCAGTGATGATACTCGTTATGTCTGATAATGAATTCCCCATGCAGTGATGATACTCGTTATATCAGATAATGAATTCCCCGTGCAGTAATGATACTCGTTATATCAGATAATGAATTCCCCATGCAGTAATGATACTCGTTATATCAGATAATGAATTCCCCGTGCAGTAATGATACTCGTTATATCAGATAATGAATTTCCCGTGCAGTAATGATACTCGTTATATCAGATAATGAATTTCCCGTGCAGTAATGATACTCGTTATATCAGATAATGAATTCCCCATGCAGTAATGATACTCGTTATGTCTGATAATGAATTCCCCATGCAGTAATGATACTCGTTATGTCTGATAATGAATTCCCCGTGCAGTAATGATACTCGTATGTCTGATAATGAATTCCCCATATGCTGCAGTTGATACCGATAATGAATTCCCCATGCAGTATGATACTCGTTATATCAGATAATGAATTCCCCGTGCAGTAATGATACTCGTTATATCAGATAATGAATTCCCCGTGCAGTAATGATACTCGTTATATCAGATAATGAATTCCCCGTGCAGTAATGATACTCGTTATATCAGATAATGAATTCCCCGTGCAGTAATGATACTCGTTATATCAGATAATGAATTCCCCGTGCAGTAATGATACTCGTTATATCAGATAATGAATTCCCCGTGCAGTAATGATACTCGTTATATCAGATAATGAATTCCCCATGCAGTAATGATACTCGTTATATCCGATAATGAATTCCCCGTGCAGTAATGATACTCGTTATGTCTGATAATGAATTCCCCGTGCAGTAATGATACTCGTTATATCCGATAATGAATTCCCCGTGCAGTAATGATACTCGTTATGTCTGATAATGAATTCCCCATGCAGTGATGATACTCGTTATGTCTGATAATGAATTCCCCATGCAGTAATGATACTCGTTATGTCTGATAATGAATTCCCCGTGCAGTAATGATACTCGTTATGTCTGATAATGAATTCCCCGTGCAGTAATGATACTCGTTATATCAGATAATGAATTCTCCATGCAGTAATGATACTCGTTATGTCTGATAATGAATTCCCCGTGCAGTAATGATACTCGTTATGTCTGATAATGAATTCCCCGTGCAGTAATGATACTCGTTATGTCTGATAATGAATTCCCCGTGCAGTAATGATACTCGTTATATCAGATAATGAATTCCCCGTGCAGTAATGATACTCGTTATGTCTGATAATGAATTCCCCGTGCAGTAATGATACTCGTTATATCAGATAATGAATTCCCCGTGCAGTAATGATACTCGTTATGTCTGATAATGAATTCCCCGTGCAGTAATGATACTCGTTATGTCTGATAATGAATTCCCCGTGCAGTAATGATACTCGTTATATCAGATAATGAATTCTCCATGCAGTAATGATACTCGTTATATCAGATAATTAATGTCCGGGTTTGATCATTTTTTATGTTTATACTAAATAATTACAACATATTTCCGGAAGATTTGGGGTTTTGAAGTTTCATTCTAATATTTCAATGTTGGATACTTTATATTTAGTATTGATTAATATCTAAAAATAGAAATGGACATTTTTCAGTTTTTGGATGTTAACAAGTTAATGATTTATGAAAAAAATATATTTTATCTGCAAAAAATATGGTATTGGGTTAATGGTGACGGTAAGACTAATTAAAGACCCAAAGTTAACACATGATGCATCTCTTGTTAATGTTTACAGTAGCTTTGCAGTTTATTAATTTACTTACGTTAATGTTTTATACTTTGTATTGTTTTCTATTAGATGTACTATGCACTGTTTTCTATTAGATGGATCACAGCTGATGATCCGGGAGAATACAAAGAAAGAAAAAACAGATTGTGCCAAATAATAACTGTACCAAAATGTATCTACAGTAATAAAACAACAAAGGCCAACATAGAGTAGTATAGCAATACACTTACTGCATGTAAAATTCAATGTTGAACTCACAAGAGTATAATAAAAATGAGTTTATCTTGTCTGCTGATAAAATGCTGATGGTCAAGGTCTTCGTATATTCTTAAAATTGCATGTCAAAGAAATGGTAGAAAAACATAGTGCTACACTGTATAAAGGTATAACAAACGTATTATTATAATAGGCATTTTTTTGGGGAGGGGGCGAGACCCAAGAAAATAAAAAGAGATCGCACAATATTTATATTTCCGAGACAATCACCAATCAATCTTACCAATCGATTTGCCCCCTTCACAAGTTTGAATACTTGAAGCAAGAGGAGAAGAGAGAGTGGGGAGACGGAACAAATTTAATTTTAAATTGTAATAAAGATGAGAGTTTATGTATTTTTAACATTTCCAATGTAGAGGCCAAATTACAAGAATGCATGAATTTAAATAAAGGTTTAAAGATTTCACCTAGTACACCATCTGAACCCTTCAAATTAGAAAGATGAAAAAAAAAACAAGAATATCCCTCTAAGGATGATACATCTTGACTAACCGAGGCATCAGACCCATTGCACAAATTTAAACCTAAATCCACTTTAATCCTTAACGATAGAGGTATCCAACTATAAACAATTAATAAAATGATACTTAAGAATTTTAAACATTTTGGTCAAAAGAATAGATTGAAAAGTAACCTCACTAAAACAGAAAATGCTAATTTAAAAATCCTAACAGAAAGAGAGGACGTAATCATCGAAAATGCTGATAAAGAGGGAGGTATTTGAATTATGTCTAAAGAATATTATTCACAGGAAGCTTATAGATTGGTCAATGATTCAAGTACTTATAACAAACTATCCCAATAAAAAAATTAAGCAAAGAATTACGACTTTTATTGGAGGCAAAACAAAAGGATGTTATTATTAAAGTTTTGTCATTTTTTATTTCAAGGGTTCCCTAGGATTGCCACATTTTACTTCCTCCCCAAAATTCACAAGACCAAAAAGAATCCATCAGGGTGCCCTGTTGTAAGTGGCATTGAATTCTGAGTTCATAGACCACTTTTTACAGAAATATGCTTGGTCTGCAAAATTGTATCTTAAAGACACGAAACACGTCCTACAAGAACTTGAATCTATAGAGTGGAAAGAAGGGTTGATGTGAGCTTACTATACACAGTGATAGATCACCAACTAGGTTAAAAAGAATTTAAAACAAGATGTCAGTTTGGATGGGGTTTTAGTAATTTTTTTATTGAGTGTATCGCTTTTTTTTTTTTAAACCACAACGTTTTTTAATTTTAACTGGAATTTTAATGGGGACTTCTTTCTGTAGAACAAGGGGACAACCAAGGGCACCGAGTTGACTCCAAGCTATGCCAACATCTATTTGAATAGCTGGGAGAAAATGTTAATTTGGAATGATACCCCCTTTGGAGCAAATTTAGTGCTCTGGTGTCGCTACATTGATGATTTTCAGTGATTTGGAAGGGAACAGAAGATAATATTAATTTTATCACATGACAGGAGGCTTCATATTAGCTTAAGTCTCTCTTTACTACAACTCACAGCAGCACTTTTCACAGAGAGAAATCAACCAATCAGAAACAATAAGTCTCTCCTCCCCTTCCAACACTTCCTCTTTCTTTTTTTTTTTTTTTTTTTAATTTGTTTATTTCATTTTTCTTATATTACCATACAAGACATTGCCATCATCCTTAATGATATATAAAACATAGACAAGTGTTGCCATCTACCACCAAAAAAATTATAAAATTATATGTATACTCAGTACTATTGCACACATAATAGTCTTTGTAATATTAGAGCATTTTCCCCTTTTAATTATTCTACTAAATTATTTTCTAGATCTAGACCGAATGCCATATTAGGAAAGAAGACAAAAGAAAAATCAGTCTACATATCTAAAAAAAAAATTTTTTATCCAACATCCCTCCAATATTAAAGTTCCTTTTATCTATCGTGTAAGGCAACTTAATTCACGATTAATTATTACTTAAATTGAGTAGATGGCATTCCAGACTTCATTAATATGATATATATAACAAACATAAAAGGACAAACATTTATTTTATGCATTGCGAACTCTTCTTGGGGTATATCAGTGGCACCTCTATTTCACTTCCTTAGTATACTAAACAGGTAAAGATGTAGGAAAAAGAGAGAAACTGGTCTAATTACTTTAATTTTATCCAGAATTTTATATGGCCATACTCTCCACTTTTTCTTTCCAAAAATTACTGACGTCTCTAATTTTAATTGACTGATGTCCAAGGGCCTCCATATTTAATTGATATTGGACTTGAGAATATAATTGGGCTTGTGTAAAATTTGCGCTACTCTTCCAGTTCCTTGCAATGATTATTTTTGTTGCTGCTACAAAATGGACGTATATAAATTTATCCTTGAAAAGGAGTGATTGCAAATTTAAGTGAAATAAACCATTATAATGACCTCTAAGGATTTTTTTTTCTATGATATTCTCCAGTGATTCGAAAGCCATATACCACAAGTTTTTCACCTTACTGCACTCCCACCATATGTGTCCAAAGGTTCCTTCTTTTTCATTACATCTCCAACAAATTGGAGAATTGGAGATATACATTTTGGCTAGTCTGGTAGGGACTAAATACCAGCGGTTCATTAATTTAAATAATACTTCAAGAAGGTTCAGACAGTGAATTATCTTACTTGTTTGATATAATACCTGATCCCATTCAGACTTAAGAATCTGTACATTTAACTCTTTATTCCATTTTTGGATATTTACATTTAAATTTGGAGCTTCAATTTGGAGGAGAGCAGTCCTTGCTTTTGAAACTATTTGCGGTACAATCTAATTTTTTAATAAAACTGTCAGATTTTCTATACCCACTGTAGGTCGGTATAGCAAATATTGTTTGATATAACTTCCAATTCTTAAATAATTATACCACTCCTTCCAAGGTAATGAGAATTCTTGTATCAGATTTTCAAATGATTTAATTTTGTCACCCATTATTATTTGATTTATAGAGTCAATACCTTTCCTTGTCCATTCCCCTAAATTTAAATCCTTCATCCTTAGTTGGATAATACTAAGGTTAAAATTTCCCAATATTTTATTACATATACCACCATTAATCCTCAACTTTTCCCACTCCATTAATATAGATTTCAAACATGTGTTGGAGGAACAGGCCTTTTTGGTTCTTTCATCTTGTTTAATTAACCAGATCAAATGATGTAAATTTTCCATTTCTGTCATCTCCAATTCTAGTTGGTACCAACCAACTTCCTCTGAACTTAATAATTGTGTCTTATATATATGGAACATCATATTTGCTAGATAAGTTATATTAATATTTGGGAAATTTATCCCTCCTTTCCTAGTCTTCTGCATCAAAAGTTGTTTATTCATCCTCGGCCTTTTTCCTTTCCATATAAAAGTATTTATATCTCGTTGTATCATAGATAACCATGGTTGTGGCATTCTCAGGGGGATCATACAAATAAATAAGACCATTTAGGCAGTAAATACGAATTAACCAAATTAATTCTGCCCCACCAGGACAATTCAGTTTGTCTCCATCTCTTTAAAGACTCATGTGTCGATCTAAATGTTTTCAGAAAATTTGCTTGGAGCGTATCTTTTACATCATCAGTGAGAGTTATACCCAAATACGTTAACAAATTTTTATTACAATTAAATTTATATTTATCTTTAATCTGTTGAATAGAATCTCTGGAAATATTTATTGCTAAAAAAGTGGATTTAATTACATTTATTTTATAATTTGAGATCAGACTATATTTATCTATTTCTGCCATCAATGCTTTGAGCGATTCGACAGGGTCGGTTAGGGTCAATATCAAATCATCTGCATATAGATTTAATTTAAATTCTTTTTCTCTGAGTTTGAATCCTTTAATTTGAGGGTTATCTCTTATTTTAATAGCTAAGATCTCCATTGTCATTATATATAAAATCGGCAACAAAGGACAACCCTGTCTCGTACCATTTTTAAGTGTAAACCACTCTGCACATATGTTTGGGGCCACTGTTCTTGCTTTAGGGCCTTCATATAATGCCAAAATAGCCTTTAACATCCTTCCCTGAATTCCGAATTTTTCCATCGTTTTCCTTAAAAAATCCCAACCGACCCTGTCGAAAGCTTTCTCGGCATCGACCGCCAATACAAATAAAGGTTTATTACTTCTTCTAGATACATCTATCAGATCCAATAATCTTCTAGAGTTATCTACTGGATCTCTACCTTGTACAAAACCAATTTGGTCATTTTTAATTATATTATCCATTAATCCTCTTAATCTATAGGCCAAAACTCTAAAAGGTCTATAATTTTCTACCTTTAAAGGATCTTTGTTATCTTTAAGAATTGGAAGAATATTTGCACTCAACATTTCTGTAGGGAATTTACCAACTGATACAATTTCATTAAACATGTCCGTTAGGTGGGGAACAATAAGTTTTTTAAATGATTTATAAAATATATTTGCAAAACCATCTGGACCTGGCGTCTTATCTGGTTTTAATTTATTTATTACTACCTCTACTTCCTGAGCTGTAATTAAAGTATTTAGCTTATTAGTTTGTTCTATTGTAATTTTAGGAGTATTAATTTTACTCAAATAGTCCTCCTCGTTAGTTATCGAGGGAGTTAAATTGTACAAAGCCTCATAATACTTATTAAATCTCTCCCCTATTTTTTTTGGGTCCAGATATACCCCATCTTCATCCTCTATCTTTACTATTTTATTGGATCCAATTTTATCTCTTAATTTTTTGGTCATAATTCTATCTACTCGATTTCCCTTATAGTAGTAATTAGCTTTAAGTTTATTCCTAATTTTTACATTCTTTGCTATGAGAAAATTATTGATTCTATTCTGGATACTTTTTAGCTCATCTGCATTTTCTTTAGAGGGAAACTGCTTGTTCTCACTTGCAGCCTTTTTCAGTTCAGTTTGTAATACCATAAAAGATCTATTATTTTCTGCTTTATATCTTGTTTGAATACTTATTATATTACCTCTCATAGTAGATTTGAAAGCACACCAGTAGTTTATATATGAGGTATCATTTGGATCGTTTTCAAGGAAGAAGGTTACTATTTGTTTTTCCAGTATATCAAGATTAATCTTAGATTTTAACAAGTTATCATCCATACGCCAGGTATCACGACCAATCCTGATCCACTGATTCTTCATCTCCCACATATTAATACTATGATCTGACCAAGTATTATCAAGTATCTTAAAATATTTAATATTCGTCAGTGCTGTCATATTTCCCCAGACCATATCTATTCGGGAATACGAAAGATGTACCCGTGAAAAAAACGTATATTCCAATGCAACAGGATTGGCCGTTCTCCAAAGATCAAAATAATCAAAATTGATCATATTTCTCTTAATAGATTTTGCCGATTTATCTGTTCTTTTTTGATGTAATAAAATTGAAGATGTCTTTTTATCTAATATCGGATCCAATACACTATTAAAGTCCCCAGCCACCAAACATGTACCTATTTTAACAGATTCCATTAAAGTTAAGACTTTTTTTAAGGTTGGAGCAGGAAAGTCATTAGGCAGATATATATTAGTCAATGTATAAGGTATCTCATTCAGTTTACAACAAACTATAACATATCTACCTTCCTTATCTTTAATTTGATGAATTATATCCACTTTTAATATGTGGGAAAAAACTATTGCTACTCCTCTTTTTTTTTCTCCACTTAAAGAAGCATGTATCATTATAGGGAATTTTGAACCTCCCCAGCCCTGACTATCCATATCCAACCAGTGAGTCTCTTGAAAAAAGCCCACTTCCACTT